CATCTTATTCATCAAGTATAATTTACTCATACCAAATTTCAGCTAAAAATTCAATCGGGAACGCATTCAAATTAATTCTTGAAGATAACTGCACAATTATCTTCAAGAATCAATTTGAATGCGTTCCTGATTGAAATTTTAGCCGAAATTTGGTATGAGTAAACTAGACTTGATGAATAAGATGCTAAAAAAAATTCATCAAACAATTCCACCGGGAACCGCCCCAAATCGCGACGGCCGGACAGAGCCTCCTATACGAGGACTTACTTGACCTTTTTATGAAAGTTCGAGGACATATTTGACAGTTTTCTCTTTTACAATGTATACACAATTGGCATGGACTCGGTCCACGGTTTAGGACTGGCCGGGACAAGAACCGATTGGTTGACGTGTCCCACTGGCACGGCTCCCGAGTTTAAATAATGAGGACCGGAATCGACCGGTCCCAACGGCCTACAATTTTTTTTCCTTTTCTCCTATTACCTCTCTTGCCTTATATTCCTAGTCCAATCCCCGCCACCAGGTGGTTCTGGAAATGTTGATCATCCTTAGCTCTAACATGCATGACATATCTGCCTTATGAAAACCCTCATGTATTCATTCATTCATTTTAGTGGGTCTTCTCGGCAAGAGTTAAGCTGCGCTAAAACAAAAAAGTTTTGGTAATTTGGGTAGGAAATTAAAATCAGTTTTGGTAGGTGTACCCAAAATGTGTACACCTTTTTTGTACACTTGTCTGTCTCAGGTGGATATGAGTTGTCTGTGACAGAGAACATGTCCGTCTGGGACAGACAAGTGTACAAAAAAGGTGTTCACATTTTATATACATCTATACACATTTTGTGTACACCTAGCAAAACTGATTTTAATTTCCTACACAAACTCCCAAAACTTTTTTGTTTTAGCGCACCTTAACTCTTGCCGAGAAGACCCACTAAAATAGATTTTAGTTATAGTTTTTACATCTTATCTCCCTAGAGTTTTAGTGTAGATTTTTATAGATTCAACATTTTTTCTTACATTTCAATGAATTGCTTCTATTTATTAGGAGTAATAACTGTGGCAAGATATATCGTAGTTCAAACGAAATGTCTGCTTACCAATTGTGCTACTGTATAGGATAAGATTTTTTTATGCTATTAAAGGGTAAATTATACCGTACAACCGGTTGTACGGTGAGCACCGTATAACCGGGTATTTTTGAAATTAAATACAACTTCCAGCCTGAATCGTAGTAGTTGCTCCCTGCTTTTCTTCCGTTTTCCATTGTTTCCGTCAGTAATTTTCCGCCGTTTCAGACTCCAGGTCTCTCCGTTGTTTGCTTTGTGCCGCCGCCCCACTGCTATTTTTTGTTTTACTTACTTTTTTTATTTTTTTTGTTTTTGTTTTATTACGTACGTTTCGTGCTTTCTTTTAGGTTTTAGTTGTTGGTTTCTTTCGTTTTCTTTCTTTTGTTTTCTTTACCTTTTTATTCAAAAACCATTGTTTTGATTTCTTGTTCAATTATCATGTAAATGTATAATATAAACAATCCAATGTTCGAGTTTTTTTTTTCTTTTTTCAATTAACATTCTAACTACTTAAGTCTTTTTAATTTTTGCGTTATAACATATTTTAGCTATTAATGTTTTATTTTCTTATTTCTTATTTTAAGATAAACATTTATTAGTTATTAAATATTTTGTGTTAATTACTAACATGAGTTTTGTGATATACTAAAATGAGAGTAGTGTAAAAGAATATGCACAAATAAAGATTTCAACACATTAGAGAATTCAAAGGAATTTTTGAAATTTTCGATGCTCATTTTGTAAGTTACTTATGTTCATCTCGTACTAGTTTATATTCATTTCAAAATGTCATATTAATGCATATTTTAAAACTATAATATTAGATTCGCATAATAGTTAAATTATATACATGAGAAAAGAGGTCATGAAAATCAATTGCATGTTGCCGATACTCAATTGAGCAGATTTAATTTGATGTTCATTGAAAATGTCTTGATGCTCAGTTGAACAAACTTATGATTTCGATATCATTACTCATAACGTAAATGATGTATGCTCATTTGGTGATAGTTTTCTGCTCATTTTAAAATGTTATGTCAATGCACTTCATGTCGGCTTCTGTGGCTCTCGCAACCACTTCATCACAATGAGTTTTATGTTAAATTCAAATGAGTATAACTCCTAAAATGAATATGCAGACACAAATGAGCTTTTTATTTTTTCGATACTCATTTTGTAAGTTGTGAGTGCTCATTTGGTACCGATCTTCTACTCATTATATTTTTACACAAGACTTGATTATAGACACGGGAGCACAGATTGCTCAATCGCATAATTCTAATACTCAATAGAGGAGGTTTGATACTCAATTAAAATATGAACAAAAAAACTTATGATTTTTATATCTATGCTCATTTTATATGTTACATATGATCAATTGATACCGATGTTATGCTCATTTTTAAAATGCCATAACAATGCATTATTTCAAAAGTATCATATTACATTAGATTCGCATATTGAAATTCATATGAATTGATTATAAATATAATTTAATGAGATTTTATAAAAGAAAAAATAAGAAAAAGAAAGTCAATTACAATATATGAAGTTGATATCACAGTACTCATTATTTTACTCTTAATGCTCCGTAGAATACGTCTGATGTTCATTAAAAGTGTATCAATGCTCATCTAACGAAAACCGCGATTTTTACTGAAATTACGAAAATGCCACCGTTTATTAGTTGTGATATCATCATTCTTGTAATAACACAACGCTCATTATTGGACGCTTAATATTCATTAAAATTGAACTATTGCTCATTAACAATACACAAATGCTCATTTAGCAGAAACCGCGATTTTTACATTAATTACAAAATTGCCACCGAATTATTTTTTTATTTTTCCATTGAGCCTGTAACTGGGCCGGCTGTACGGTGCTCACCATACAGCCGGTGGTACCATATACCAACTCCTATTAATGCTTGAGCATTTTGCTTTCATGCTTATGTTCTTTTCTGTTTTTCTTGTTTCCGTTTTTGTGCCTAATTTTTTCAAAAGAAATATGTATGAAAATTGTGACAAATGAAATTATAATGAACCAATGAATTTGTGGAAGAAAATAACCAATGGCAGGAATACGTGATAAAGTAGAAAAATTACCGCCCCGAGAAAAAAACCGTGTCCCAAAATTTTAAATCTATGTAGCATCAGTAGCATGTTTAGTATTGTGTCATGACTATATTTAATATACGTCATTAAGATGTGACAGTTATTTAAATAGTGTCCCAAAAATGTTAAGTCAGTTTTCAAATAGTGTAGATAAGTAATCAAGTATACTACCTCTGCCCCAAAATTGAATTGTTAGTTTGACACACAAAATTTTTATTATCTCATCACACAAAATTAACTTTATATACTTCATTGTAATGTAAAGCTTTTTTTTGGGTGAAAGCGACTTACATTAATATCAAACTATTCGGAGAATAGGTAAAACGATAATATAATTTAAGAAAACCGTCGTCCCGCGAACCAGATTCAGAGTTAATCACCTCGGTAAAGTAACTCGTTGATCCATTGATGGGCACAACTGAGCCAGTGACGGTAATCGCAGTTAAATCATCACCCACATCAAAATCCAAAATCACAGTCTTACAATCGAAAGAGATAAAATAACAAACAAACACAGACAAATTCAGACCATTAAAATAAATAAAAGAAAAAAAATTCTTCACTCAACCTTCCAAGAATCACCGGCGGCGGTTCAGCAGGGGGTTGGATCACCTTCCCTTCATCTTCTTCCTTCATCGCTTTGATCTGCCCTTGTGTCGCCTCCAGCTAAAACTCCCTATCCATGAATGAATTGCCGAAAGACGGCACCGCTCCTCGCCAAAAGATGATAGCGGACAAATAAAACTCTAGTGGTGAAACCCTAAAGACAGGACGCGAATCCACAAACCCGGAATAAGATTAACGCCAGAAGCTCCGCCACAATCGATCGATCTATAAGAGACCGACACTGCCCTCCATCGATCGATCTATCTCCTCTCTGCCGCCGCTAGGGTTTAGAGAGAGAGAGCCTTTTGTCAAAAATAGACTATGTACTTCATTGTAATATATATTATGCAAATACTCCCTCGTGTATTAATCATCACATATTCTATAAGTATAAGTTTTAGATATATAAGGTAAAACTTCCATCATAAGACATAGGGAGTATAAAAATTAAACAAGAAAAAACATCCATTATAAATCCATAGCTTTGAGCTAGAGTTTCGGCCGCCGCCTAGGGTTTCTCCTAGTGGTTTGTCCGGTGGCAATCATCTTGGTCGCCACACCGGTTTCTGTTGCTTGCGTCTACCTTTGCTGATTTCGGCACGGTCGATCGTCGGTTTGCTTGGAATCTTCGCTCTGCTTTTCGTTTTTCTTTGGATTAGAAGACGGCAGCGGTTTTTGATTCTTCGTAGGAGGTTGGCTTTGGAAGGAGATCTCGTCTGGGGCGAAGGGCTTGATGATTTCTAGAGAAGAGCGACTCTTCGGAATCAGTGGCTTCGGGGTCGACGATCGTTGGCGTCCAATGCAGGGGAGGCTCGTTGGTTGGAGAACAGGGCTTCCGGATTGCATGGAAAATTTTGTTAATCAGTACAAGAAGATGGAGATTTGTTAGGCGGTGCTTCATTTTCGATCGTTTTAGACTTCTTTTTGCCTGTTTTCACTACAAGAAAACATGGCTATAATGAGAGGATATACTGTGGTTAAAAGCTGAAATACTGTCATAAAAGACATTTAGTGACAGGAAACATACCGTCACGAGCCGTCACTATAGCTTCCGCGGTTAAAAGAAACAATGAGGGGAAATGAGTCCCGTCACAAATGAGTGTATTATGAGAGTATGTGTACCCTCATTAAAAACGTTGTTAATGTTGAAGCATCTAATCTAATTAGATCACAATATTCGACTCCTATCAATTAAATTCTATTAAAGACTAATACTTTGAACATGTACAATGCTCAGAAATTCAAATTACAACTGTCATTACAAGAACAGAAAGAAAATTACAACTGTCATTACAAGAACAGAATTGAAACTGAAGATTACAAACAACATTCTTATTGATAAAGTAAACACTCGTGTACATTCAAGGATTCACCCAATCACCCCTATTCTGAAATGGGTTACATGGGCCTTCATATGATTTTAACAACCTTGTTACCCCTGTTCAACCTTGTTCTCTGCCTTCTGGTTTGAAGTAGCCTGCAAATAAATAAATGAATAAATAAATAAATGAAAAGAAAAGAGAACAAAACTTAATAACTTATATACATTTAAGAATGAACCAAGGTGCAAAAAAGTCTTCACCTAAATTAATAAATACCAAAGGTAAACACTGTCATTTAACCAAGGTACAAAAAAAACCAAGAAGGCATTTTCTTTAGTTCTTTTCTTCAATACCGTATTTTGAGTTTTAATATTGCCAAAATAACCATCAAATAAACTTATGTGTCTAGAAACTGGGATATCCTTGCTACGTAGTCTGAAAAAGTAGAACTAACAAGACAAAGTAAAAAATATTTAGGATCCCTTATATACAGACATATCATTAATTCATTAATTTTTCTAAACCATAATTTCAATATAACGAAGAGAAGCATTATACTAGATTATCACATCAGATTTATAGTAAAACATTGTGTGAATTAACACTTTCTTGACCTATGTTTCAAGTTTCAGCTAACATCCACTAAGTCAAGGAGTTTTTCCTGCTAAGGAAATAGGAATTGAAAAATTCATTTTATTATAGATATGATTTTTGCAGTTCAGGTCCGTGAGGGAATACAAGGAGATATAACTCTGTTTAAACAAAGACAGATTGTTACAAGTGCCTTCTTATTCGTCATTCTCGTATCCTTTCATACAACTTTCATCAAACACATAGTGTGCAATTGTGCGCATTACTGGAAACCTGCTAAGAATGACAACAAATTGAAGGAGATACCTCAAATCAATCATACGAATCTCAATAATTAGACATGATTTAGTCAAAAACTCCTCAGACCTGGATATATGGGATTAAAATCAGTTAATTGAAGCAAATCTGGCAAAAACAATTAACGAAGAAGTATTAACTAAACAAAAACCAAAAGACGGAGAAATTGAGAAGGTAATTTAAAATGCGAAGGTCGTTGATGTTCTGTTTGATGCTAACCTTACATTTCGAGCAGTCATTGTGTTGGCGATGGTGTTCTTGTTCATCGTTGCGGCTGAAGAGGCAAGTGAGAAATAAGTTGTAAGGAAGGAAAAATAAATTACCCTAGCTCCTTTTTTGATAACTACATACTCCGTATTTCAAAAGCCCGATTGGGGGATATGGGGAAAAGTTAGCCAAATTTTCAACTTGGGCAATAATGACGGTAAGTTGTTTGCATTTCGAATTCACAACATACATTTTAATGAGGGATTCTTTTTACCCTCATAAAAACTCTCATAACCCACAATTAATGAGGGGAAGTTATTACTCTCATTATATTTTCCTCATTATTGAGTCCGTTTCTTGTAGTGTTTGTGTCTAGTGAGTCAGGTTACTTTACATGGGTGGCTGACTCTAAGTCTATTCCTAGGGCTTACGATCGGATCTGGATTTTGTATTGCTGTTTTGGTCTATAGTAATGGAAAGCCGTTTTAATGAGTCAAAAAAGGAACTATATTTGAAATTAAAATGTAATTGACTATAATATGCTCAATTACATAAAAAAGAACTATATTTGAAATTAAAATGTACGTTTTTATCACACTATAAACAAGACAGCATTTTTACTAGTGCAACTATGGCATTGAAGTCGAAATATGTCTTTCACGTTTTAGATATTTTACAACAATGAATTTTAGTTTAAATATGAATTTTGGTCGAAATATGTCTATCACCGGAGTACATGCTTATGACCCTACGATGTAAGTTTATGACATTGTACTACCAAATCACAATGTTTTGGAGGATATAAGAGTTTCCTTAATTAGGAGTTAGGAGAGTCATATGACTCACATGCATCTTCTGATTAAAAAGTTGTACTCCCTAATAAGCAGAGTAAATGTTATACGGAGTATATATGCATGCTTTAACCGCTTTTATTTAACTCTTATATATATTTCAACCATGAACCTAGAGTATGTAATTTGAAGTATGTAACATCACAACCATTCAATAGAAATGATTATATGAACAGAAGGACCTACATGGAAACATGGAATGCTGCAAGTCTTCAATTAACAAATCAAATAGCACAGCTATGGATTAACAAAAGCGTGGTCCAATAAATATATGTAGTGAATGAATACATGAGGGTTTTCATAAGGCCTGCCCAACAACATTACAAAGGCAGATATGTCATGCATGTTAGAGCTAAGGATGATCAACATTTCCCGAACCACCTGGTGGCGGGGATGGACTAGGAATATAAGGCAAGAGAGGTGCGCCGTGTTGTATCGGTCCTGGTTTTAGTGATGCTTTTGATGAACTTGGTACTGGATCCATTGGACCATAGTCTTCCATATGCATTATGTCTCCATCATAGTCTTCCATTGGATCATTACGACTTCTTACGTTTCTCGAACCCTGTGGATTAATGGCAGCAAAATTAATGGCTCTTCCACAGTTCAGCTTTGTAGGCTGTTTAGTTAGTTTGGTTCAAGTTAGCTCACTTTTGAGAAATAGAAAACTGAGAGCCGAATCGAGTACCTTTAATCGATTTTGCGGGTTCTGGTTCGATTATTTTTAGTTTGATTTGGCACGTTTTGATCAGTTATTGTTAAGACAAGGGGTTCCATCCTAAAAGGTCAACCGGATAGGAGGAGTATCTCATGTGTTAATATATCACTTTGTTCATCCAAACTCTTTCGGTGTAGGACATTTAACACCCCTCCTCACGACCAGATACTTCGTCTGAGTCGTGTCATCATTCATTTTTTTTCATCGGTCCGTTTTATAACCACGTCATCATTTTTCATAAGGGGCCACACACCATAAATCGATTTGACTCTGATACCATGTTAAGACACGGGGTTCCATCCTAAAAGGTCAACCTGATAGGAGGATTATCCCATGTTTTAATATAACACTTTGTTCATCCAAACTTTTCCGGTGTGGAACATTTAACAGTTATGGTCAGTTTGTTCTGGTTTTTACGCCATCCAAACCTATAATTGTGAGCAAAACTATCTAGCCTACTGTTGAATAGTTGGAATTTACTATTTGTGTTTATGCGTAACTCAACACAAAATAAATCCATATAAACACATGAAAGAAGGAATTGGTTCAGAAGCCTACCTTAACAATCTATTTTTTTATAATGGTGGTAAACTACCAAGTTCTAATCTTCCAATTGTAAATTTTTATCTTCAAACTATTTCTTCTAATAGGATGAAGTTAATGTAGTGATGCATGTTTTCTATTATTTAGATACGGGGCCATTACACTTCTAAAAGATACGATTTCATGCTCAAAACAAAACTTAATTACAAATAGATTACTTTACACAATTAACTTATAACTTATTCATATAATGACTTTGATACATTTAATTTTCATTAGATATGTGTCATAAATATTTAATTTTCTAAGATGTGTCGAATTTTGTCTATTCTGGTATGATCGGTGTTGGCCGATTTGTCAATTACTTTATGATTCGACTTTTTTTGTTAGCTCCAATAACCACACCATACACTAACATCATTTAAAGAAGAGTCATTTTTATAACGTTAAAAACAGATCTTCATAACTTATAATAAATGTAATTCATTGATATACCTTCATCTTCATGTCAATGGTTGTGTCCATAATGTTATTCCCCTGCAATGGTAAGGCCATAGCACCTGGTGTGTAGTGTTCTTATTAGCTAGGTCAGTGCGAATGAAAAAACGTAACAATAGGTCTAAGGAAAACAACACTAGGGACATCCCTCACATTTTATTCTACTTATAAAAGTTATCCTCAATAGGACTAAAGTGTACCTAAAACGCACAAATATGATTACTACTTTTAAAATTCCCTTCAGATAGGACTAAACATTGATTTCTACCCTAAATACTCGTAAGGGTATTATTATTCATAATGAAATGTCTTAATTCATAATAAAATCATAACAAATAATAAAAAAAAGTAAAAAATAATAAAAAAATCGTAAAAAAAAATAAAATATGTATATTTTTTGAATTCTTTTTTAAAATTAATAAAAAATAGTAAAAAACCATAAAAAATTATGGATACCTTTCCCACCGCCTCCCAGCACTATCACCTCCGATCGGTAAAAAATGTCATTTTTTCTGAAAATGCCACGAAAATGACATTATTACTAAAGCCAAAATCTTCATTGAATCTGATATTATTATAGCATTAAAAATGTAGGCAGATTTCAAACCGGTGATGGGAGCTGGTGGTGCTGGCGGTATTTTTTTACGTTTTTAATTTTGATTTTTTTAATTTTATAAATTTTTTTATTAGTTTTTTTACGTTTTTTATTTTTTCTGATTTTTTTAACGATTTTTTTAAGATTTTATTATTAATTAAGACATTCAAAGGCTACTGGGTGAATTTTTAAGATATAGTCCTATTTGTGCTCTTTGGTCACTTTTTGTCCTATTTAGGTAATTCACTATTCTACTTATAGTGTTACATCATTATATATTTCTGTTAATTAATTTACTAAGTTTCCATATACAAAATCAACTTTTGATTAGTAGAAGTGTAGAACATTTATAAATATTACTCCCCTAAAATGAGCAAGTGTGACAAAAAAGCTCACTTAAGCTCGTAGTGTACAACAACACAGTAATAATGTGAGAAATCCTTTTCTTGTGTACAAAATCTACACAATAACTTTCATGATTAATTTATTAAAGGCATCAAACTTTCTCATTTTACAATTAATCACGCACTTAAAATTTTGGAAAAACACACTTCATAATTTTACGGGAATCACGCACTTAAAATTTTGGAACAACACACTTCATAATTTTACGGGTTTAATACGTAGCATTGAACAACACACCTCATAAATTATACTCCCTTCGTCCCATTGGAATGTGCCCGGTTTGACCTACACACATATTAAAGAAATAAACTTATCAGGGGGTAAATTTTACTGTTTTGACACTGTTTTGCACTGTTTTGATGTAGGATAACTTTCCATTTAGGGAAATGAGAACTTCTTTTTGGGACATCCAAAAAAGGAAAGCGGGAACATTCCAACGGGACGGAGGGAGTACAAAAATACTAAATAATTTTATTTTATTATTTTATTAAACAGCTAAAATATTCTTTATAAATATTAAGGGTGTCGTTAATCATAACAACAAATGACTTTGTACATTGCACAGAGCTAATATATTTCTCAAACTTTGTACGGAGTATACTTAGGGGTGGTTCGGTACGGTATACCTTATATTTTTTCTCATACCTTTGTTGTACCAAAACTTTCGGTATGCAAAATTTGCATACCTTTACCTTACCGAAGTTTCGGTACACCGTATTTCGGTATACCGAAGTTTCGGTTCGGTAACGGTACGGTATCGGTAAATTGCCGTGCATGTCTCCCAATACAAAAAGTTATCATAGACTAACAAAATATATTAAATCATTATTACTAGCGGCATATTAAATCTAATATTAAACTGTTACGAAATACAATTAATAATCTATTGATGTCAATTCAATATTGAACAATAATTATTATTAGTATATTTAAGCAGTTCAACATGTCACCTATTAAAAAGTAACACAGTCTCCTAAAGTAACTTGAACAATAGAGATATAATTAAATCAATAGTGAGCTCTAACAAAAATAAATAAAACTATTCAAACAACATGGATATAAAATCATTTATTCCTAATATGATATTGTGTATTTAGTTATTTTTATAATTTTATAAAAATTGAATAAAACTTTCGGACAAAGTTGTGTGTCTCGACTCGCGGAATCCCTATGTAGATACACTTGTCACATAAGTGTATTACTCTTCACTCGTCAGCTACTTAGAGGTCCAGCCATCACAACTTGCAAACTCTTGGAACAAGATGAACTTGTTTTTTGACATTTGTACATACATTACTCATTAGTAATTAAGGTTAGCGTAGTAGAAACCTATAAGGTTATAGTGAGTTTGAGAAATTGGGCCTTTAATTTTTTTATTTTTGTATTTCTAACCAACTTAAGTATTAATTTTGGGCTTCAAAATTGTAATGAATTTTTACAATATATTAGAATTAAAAGTAATTGTTGAGTAGGGAGTCGGTACGGTATTATACCGGTATACCGTGGTATTTGAAAACATTTACCGTTACCGTACCGAAATAGATCGGTACGGTATGATACCATACCGAAAATGACGGTATACCAATATATCGGTATTTTCCGGTATTTTTCGGTACGGTAAGTGCGGTATACCGATTTTTCGGTATTTTTGCCCACCCCTAAGTATACTACAAAAACATTCGTGTATGAAATCCTAAATAAATGCTCCATATATGTTTTCTGGCAAAATTGTGTGTGTGGCCCAATGCAGGGGCGGATGGTAGTGAGGTAGCCCAGCTCAATTTCTTATACAGTTAGTATAGGTATATGCTAAATTACAGACCATCCCAAAATTAATTCTCAGCCCACCCCAAAGTTATTTCCCAGCCCAGCCCACCACTAAACTTACCTGGCTTCTCGACTGACTTGCGCGAATAGAAGTTATGATTTTTTTACTTGGACTGTAATTTGTTGGTATAATCTGGTTTGGTCTAGTAATGTCTGGTTTCTTTGTATTTTTATAACTATCCAAGTCTGATCTGATCTGTTCTGGTCTGGACTGGTCTGTTCTGGGCAGATTATAGTCCAAGTAAAAAACATCATTAGCATGTGAGGATGAAGGAGCTCGATTGTGCGAAGAACGATGATGGAGCAGTCCGAGCTTGAACTAGCGACGAAGAAGTGAACACCAGTCGCACCGCCATCGTCCTCCGCCCCACTTGCGTCGTCCCACTCGTCCACCACTCCGCCCTTCTTCTCTAGACTCCGGCAGTTCGCCTCTACGCGACTGCGCCTCTGCCTCCCTTCAGCACTCCATGTAAACTCCAAATTCTATTTCTTAATTTATTATTTTAATTGAATTGGTGTTAGATTGTGATTTGTGAATGTGTTATACCATATTATTATTGTGTATTAATATACTATTATTTTAGTATTTCCGAGTTTTAGTGTTAGGGAATCATTTTGATTATTAATTGAATTTTTCAGTACAGTGTTTAATTCATTATAAAATGAAATAAAGATAGAATTAAAGAGTGGAAAATGAATTAGTTATTATACAATTGAGAATACTTATTAGTTTTATGTACAACGATTGTATTTTCCTTATTAGTTATATTTTTATATAAGTATTTTAATTTATACCAATATTGAAAATGTTTTTTAGAACAGATAATGAACATATTGCCAACAAAGGAAAGAAGTTGATTTCATCATTCTTTCCGAAAGTGAATCGTCAAACTGGTGAAGGGAGTTCTGAACCTATACCTACGATAGTCCAAGATCTACTCGATGAGGTTCCTCCACATGCCCAAGTCCCTGAAATCCAAACTATCTCAAATTTGGAGTTGCCTCCATCTTTTCCATTGAGAGGGATCCGGGAACAAGAAAGCAAATTCATGAATATCATGTCAATGAGATGAAGTGAGACATGCATATCTAAATGTTGAGTCTTATCAACCGAGAATGGAAGCGTATCCGGTTAAAAAGATTGGAGCTCAAAACAGAAGTTTTCAAAAACACTAGTTTGACAATTTTAATTGGTTAGAGTACTCACTTGTGACTGATAAAGGTTACTGTTTTTCCGCTTCTTTTTCTTGAGCACTACTTCTACATTAGTTAAGGAAGGATTTCGAAGCTGGAACAGGATAAGTCAAAGAAGTAGATGTGCATTTCTTCAACACATTGGTACTACAGAAAAATCACTTCATATGATGTGTGTTGAAAGAGCTGAACATTTGAGGCAACCATCTGGCCATATTAAGAATGTTTTTCACGCCCAATCGCAACAAGGAAAGGAGAATCATCGTTTGCGATTGAGAACTTCTATTATATTATAAGTATTCGATGGTTAGCACTTCAAGGTTGTGTCTTTAGGGGGTTATGATGAATATTTAACATCATCAAATCGGGGAAACTTTATTGAACTAGTAAAAGCTTTTGCGAGTATGAATATCAAAGTTCATGAAGTTGTACTTGAGATTGATCCAAAAAATGCTCAGTACATTGCTCCTGAGATTCAAAAAGCTAAGAGATCTTGAATATAATGGCGAATAGAGTTCGTCAAATGGTTCATGAAAAAATTGCAAACAGTTGTTTCTGCATTCTTGTTGATGAAGTACAAGATATATCTAAACAGGAGTAGATGTCGATCATTATAAGGTTTGTGAACAACAATGAAATTCTTACAGAGCGTTTCCTTGTCATCAGAAGTGTTGGTGACACTGTAGCAACAACCTTGAAAGGTAAAATATGTGATGTGCTTGGTAATCATGATCTCCAAGTTTAAAAAATGAGAGGCCAAGGGTATGATGGTGAGAGTAATATGCGAGGTTCATGGAATGGCCTTCAGGCATTATTTCGTAGAGATTGTCCTTATCACTTGCGTTGGTTTCTGCGACTAAGGATGTTAGCTTAATTTGGGAATTCTTCTCTCACTTGAATAATATTGTTAATATTATCACTTCTTCACCAAAACGAGTATCGGAGTTGCATATGTCTCAAAGAAGTGAAATAAAAAAGTTATTAGCAATCGGGGAGCGTGGGTTGGGACGCAAATCAAGTTGGAAATTTGCAATGATCATG